CCACTTCCCTAGAAGAGCCATATTCCTTCTTCTAACATTCCCGAGCCCCAAACCACCACAAATTTTAGTCCTGGACACTACCTCCCAGCTGACTCTATGATCCCTCTTCTCCTCTCCCGGCTCCCACAAGAAGTCTCTCATCAACTTCTCCAACCTAATAGATACCTTCACTGGGATTTTGAACACAGACAGGAAGTAGATGGGTAAATTAGCAAGTGTGGCCTTAATCAATGTAACTCTTCCACCAAGAAAGAGGTAGTTCTTTTTCCAAGAGACCAATTTTTTTCAAACCTTTCCACCACCGGGTTCCAAAAGCTCTCCCTCATAGGGTTGTCACCTAATGGTAACCCTAAGTAATTCAATGGCCACCCTAAGACTTCACACCCCAACACTTTTGCACTCTCCCTGATCTCTCCCTCCTCCATATTCACCCCTGCTACACAACTTTTCCCAAAGTTCACCTTCAAGTTAGACATTTGCTCAAACAGTGGTATCACCAACTTCAAGTTCCTAATAAAGCTCAGATTGCCATCTTCACAAAAGAGAATCGTGTCATCAGCAAACTGTAAGTGAGTGAGGGGGGTTTCCATCCTCCCAACTCTCCAACCTCTAATGAGACCCCTCGAGTCTGCTTTGTGAATCAATTTCCCCAGGACCTCAGCAATTAGTATGAACAAGAAATGAGAGAGAGGGTGTCCTTGTCTTATACCCCTACTGGCTGGAAAGAACTCTACCATTGTCCCATTCACTAGCACTAAATAATGACAATTCCGGACACAACCCATGATCCAATTGCACCCTCGACCACCAAACCCAAATTTGATCAAAACTTTCCTGAAGAATTCCTAGTCCACCAAGTCATAAGCCTTTTCCAAGTCCAACTTACAGACCACTCCCTTCTTTTTAGCCTTCTTAAAGGTCTTCACACTCTCATTAGCAATTAAGATTTGATCAGTGATTTGTCTTCCACTCACAAAATCTCCTTGATTTTGTGCGATGATGTCTGGCAAAACCTCCTTCAACCTCAATCACAACACCTTAGCAATGAACTTGTGCAGGATATTAACCAAGCTAATTGGCCTAAAGTCCTTCGGGTGGGAGGCATCTTTCTTTTTTGGAATCAGAGCTATAAATGTATAGTTCACACCCGGATTGATAATTCCTCTCTTGAATAACTCCTCAAACACCAGCAAATGATCATCTTTCAAAATATCCCAATAGCCCTGATAAAAAGCCATTGTGAACCCATCTGGCCCTGGAGCTTTTGTTCTATCCATAGAAAACACAGCCTCCTTAATCTTTTCCAAATCAAATCTTCTTTCCAACCTTCTCCTGTTCTCCACCCCTACATCTGGCCAATCCAAACCTTCTGCCCACACCCTTCTACTTACTGGCCTTGTTAGAATGGATTTAAAGTGCTCCACACAAGCCCCGGCTATCTCCTCTTGTTGTGTTAACTCAACTCCACCTACTACCAATTTGGAGATAAAGTTCCTCCTTCTCCTTCCATCCGCCAAAGAGTGAAAATACCTAGTGTTTCTACCCCCCTCCTGCAACCGTTTACACCAAGATTTTTGCCTCCAGCTTATTTCCTCCTTATGCAGGCAATCCTCTAACTATCTTCTCAAGCCTCTCCTGAGTTTCTTATCTTCCTATCCAAATTCTCCCCTTTCTTCTTTAGAGTCAATGTTTTCAAGCTGGTCCATCAGCGTTTTCTTTCTTTCTTCTAACCTCCCAAACTCCAAAAGATTCCACTCCTTGACCTTTGCTTTCACAAATTGTAGTTTCTTATGGAATCTTATCCCCTCCCAATCCACCATTGGGTTACAGTCATACCATCACTCCCTTACTTTATTGGTAAACCCAAGGTGGAGTAACCACATGTTTTCAAATCTAAATGGGGTGGGTCCTCCACTCCTTCTTTCCTCCTTACAAATAACTATGGGCCAATGATCCGAGGTCACCCTTGGGAGAGCTCTATAAGCCAAATTTCCTCAATGTTCTTCCCAATCCAAAGAGAACAAGAATCTATCCAACTTAGAGCAGAAGAGACTAGATTGGAGATTTGACCACATAAATGTTTTGTGGGCTAAAGGAATCTCTTTAAGCTCAAAGGCATCCACAAATTTGTTAAACTTCCGCATGCTTTTTGTCACCCTCTGATTAATCTTATTGGTTTCCTTCGAGTATCTGATCACATTAAAGTCCCCACCCACACACCATGGCCCATCCCACGGTCCTCTAACATCAGCCAATTCCTCCCACAACTCCTTTCTCTCTCTGTAGTCATTTGGTCCATATACATTTGTGAGCACCTATACAAACCATCCTCTTGCTGCTTAAACTTCATGGAAATCGAATACTTCCCAATCAGCTCCTCCAAGCCTTCAACCGCATCCCTCTTCCACATTGTTACAATCCCCCCCGAAGCACCCCAAGAAGGAGCAACCACCCAGCTAATCCCCCTAGCTTTCCATACACTCCTCGCCCAACTATTATTTAACTCCATTCTCTTAGACTCCTGTAACAGAACAATATCTGGGTCATACCACCTTATCACCTCCTTTATTGTTGCTCTTTTTCTTGCACTCCCTATTCCCCTCATGTTCCAACTAAGTATCTTCATTTCCACTTCTTTCTTGACTCCCTCTCTACCTACCCACTACTTTCCCCCTTTTCTTCTATCTCCTGTTGCCCCAAACTTCTTATCCCCTTCTACATCTCTTTTCAGTC